GGCTGGTTAAACTGTACATTTAAGATTGACTGCTCCTTGATGCACCAGGCATAACCTCTCATTAACTTCAACAGGAGTTACATGTGCATACTGATGGGAGAATGGATACTTTAATTTATAGTTACAACTCACATATGTGATAACCAGCCATATACAATGTTTCCACAATCCAAGAGACTGTTAATGTACAATACCTGTGTAAACCGATTAACTGAATAGCATACTAAGAAGATTTTTTTAATTAATTTCTACAAATTGTATTGTTATAGAGATGCAACTGGGTAGGCTTGTCACCACACTTAGGTGTGATAACAGTTTTCTTCACTAAGCAGCACATTTTCCAAATAGCAAAAGCATGAGGGTAATTCATAAAGAATTATAGAATTGGATAGGCAACAATGTACCTCAAGCAAAGAGATAATGACATTCACAGATTCTTACATAGCTCTTTCTAATCACACTGAAGGTGACATATATTTCTTTGAAAAAGCATCCAGAATATTTTAAAGATCCCATTCTTCAGACATCATCTTTGCATAGCAAATAAAAGAGAAACCAGTGGACATCAACAGACAAAAAAAAAAAAAAAAACCTCTAAGGGGCCTCTAGCAGAGGTTAACATAAAAATCTCACACCATGCCTAAAAGTTTCAGTGGATGAAATCTGCCCTAATATCTTTTCATGTGTTTCCTATTATTTTTCATTATAAAGCAAAGTGGAATATAACATACAAAGATTAATTGACAAGCAATACTGCATAATAGAAAATTATTACTTCTAATTTACAATTATGATTAGGGAGCCAATCCTCCAAGCTGCTGATTGCTTCTGTGATGTGCTGAACTTCCTTAACTTGTATTGTCTTTGCTGGAAGTTAAGCATGTTCATCATCTCACAGGCAGTGTTTAGCACCTTGAAGATCAGGTCATCAGGTCCGGATTGAGCAAAGCACTTGCCTAAATCCATGCCTGTTCAGCAAAGCACTTATGCATATGCTTAATTTTAGGCAAATGTTTAAATCCCACTGAAGATAATGGGATTTAAGCATTTGCTTAAAGTTAAGCATATGGTTAAGTGTTTTGCTGAATAGGGATGGACTGCTAAATCAAGGTCTAAAATAATATGCTATTTCGGACAGAAACTTCATATTAATAAGACAAGAACAGCCTTGAAAGAGGCTCCTTTAAGGTAATTTGGGGAGGGGGGGGAGGGAATAGAAATTTGTTGTAAAGTGAAGGTTAAATATGATGTGTCATAATGCTATAATATCTAACTAAACTTTATTAAAAGTAAGTAGTGTATCCAATACAAAATTTAGTTTTAAAATCTATTATTTTTAATACTTATGCCAAGAGGTGTTTTTGTTGTTGTTGATTTTTGTGGTTTATAGTGTTTCATATGGTACTGCACCAAACAAAATACCCTGAAGAACTAAGTATGAGGTACTAAACTCTAAAACTAAATATATGTTGCCTTGAAGAAAAAAAAGTACAGCACAACACAAAATCAGAATGGAAAGACATTACCTGTGTACTCACTTGAGCACACCATTTGGTACTGTAAATGGAGACCTTTCCCCTGGCAACAATATTGTGGGTATGAAGATGTATCAATTACCAAGTCTAATTACATTAATGGATAATGGATATCACCCTCATCTACTTCAGGATGGGCACTTCCTGATTTGTCTATTTACTTGTCTTTAAAACTTCATGCACTTTCTAATCTCTCCATGGAATAAAGGCAACTGTCAATGAGTAAATGAGGAAAGACATGCAAGTTTCAGCTAATCTCTTGCTGTAATATGCATGTGAATGTTCCACTTGTTTTACCTTGTATGTACAATTAAACTATGATAAAATTAATACTATTTGATAGTAACTGATTTCTAAATGCGTCACCTTTCCTTCTAAACAAGACACTGAGTATCTGGTTTAAGTGTTCAAGAATATGAATACCTACTCTGGTGAGTCAGTCAATGCTCAAATGGTAATGTTTGAGATATGAAAAGTTCAGGTTATTTATATAAACCTCCGCCTGATACACTCATTATTATATTAAAATAAAATTTTAAAAAAATTAAAGCACAAGAGCACATAAATGTCACTCAGCAGCAAGTTAGCAAGTGCCCATAGGATAGCTATAACAGAAATAGTCTGCCAAAAAAAATCTATCCTGTAAGTTTTTATTTAACATTATTCTTACTGTCCTCTGAGTCAATACCCACTGTCCGGTCTTTAATATATATGCATGTTTGTGTTTGTGTGTATGCTGACCATTCTGAGAAGCTATTTATTTTATCCAAAGAAAACTTCAGTTACAATACTTATAAAGATATTAAACCAAAATGTTGAGTAATGTAAACTTTTTAGTATATTTTAAAATAACTCCTGTGTTAAGACATTAAAATATCAGCCATAAATTACTCAATTATATTGATCTTTATAACCAAACTACTTTCACAAAAAGCTGTCAGACATTAACTGAGACACAGGTATGGGGGGAAGGGAGCTGTTTTAAACTAGATAAATTAAGAGTTTTTCTTGATGTGTTCCTTCCACTTTGATTGTTGTATGTAAAAGTGTAGTAAGCTATTTTCTTCTCCCAGGACATCTCATAATGTATTGTACATCAAAAATATGTCCTGGGAAAATATTCTAAATAATTTAATAAACAAGATACAATCAATATATTTTTGCACAAAAACCTCAAAGAAAGCATGTATCAGCACAAGTAGTCATTTGTATAGTCTAATCTCTTACCAATTCCTACATTTAACACACAAGCCATTTTTTTCACCAAAAACAAATTATACTTTTGACAGTCTTTAATTCATATTTTGAGATGAATTCTGGCAGCAAGAAAGATTTAGTATCTGATTAGCATGGATTATACCTCATGTGTTGGTATAATGATCACTAAAAAGGCATAATCTACTATGTGTTTAATAAACCTTAGAGGATGGAAGCTTGTGAACTTTTCTACTATTTTACATTTTATATAAGCAATATTTTCAAAAGTAAATTTATAATGGTCTCCCTGGGAGAAAGTTAATGAAATGTTTTGCCAAAAAACTACTATGTCAAATGTTCTGTAAAACATTAGTATGACTAGTAAAACAACATACACAAAAAATATTAGCAAATATTACATCAATCATACCAGTTTTGTAGCTCAGCTGAAAGAATGAATGGCTCGTGACATCCACTTCTACTTACAATATATTATTCCACCATGCAGAATGCAAATACTGGTTGCATATTATAAAAGTCAATTTTAGTACACAAACAGACATCTCAAAGTATAAACATGTAGTTGTGTACCATATCTGCATGTTAATAAGTGGGAAAGAAAGCATTTTTGTCAAATTTGTCAGATTTTCAATGTTCCAGACTTGGCACCATATTTGCATGAATCTACATTCATTTATCTATAGTATCTTGCATAATGTGCATAGTAGTTGAGAAAACTTTCAGAACTTTCATCTTATGCAGATCCTCCTCTCCCCTTACCCCCACCCCATGACAGTACCAACTGCAAAACATTTTTCTCAGCATATAACCTCCCAACAAAGTAAGTCAAGGAAAATTATCTCAGCTCAAAATTCAGCTTTATAAAATAAAAATATAGGTTTGAATTATAATAATGGACTGATTCTCCACTATGTTACACCAAATTGGTGCCAGGTATTACACTGGTATCTTCCTTTTATACTGGCAGAACTCCATTGACTTCAATGCCTGATTTACATCAATGTAAGTAAGATCAGAATCAGTCACTTGTATCACTTGTAAGTTCAGAAATATTTTACTGAGTTGGTGATACCACGGAAGTCAGTCCCACCACTACTGACATTCAGATACTACTCAGTGTGATTGAGGGTGGCACAATTGGGGCCTTATGAATTTAATATAATATTCTCCAAACCAGTTAAACTATTATAGAAGTAGGGGCCAAATCTGAGCTCACTTGCTCTTATCAAGAGTCAGTCTTCTGAAATCAATGGTATTAGTGGTATAAAGAAAAAGATATAAGTGGAATCACAATCAGGCACATATATTATAGAGAGATCTGAATCTTAATAAATTACCCATAATTAGATCCCTCAACCTTTTAACATCGTGGCTGCAAATTCACACACATGTATACACAAAGCCATAGAGAGTGTGAATGAAGTCAGAGGACAGCTCCCTCTCTCAATAGGACCCTGCTGCCTGGGTGGCAGGAAAGAATTCGCTCTCTCAATGGAACCTTGTTGTCTAGTGGATGCACCTCCCTCTGAAAGAAAGACACTGATGGCTGCCTGTTTCAAAGGGACTCTGGTGGCTGGCTGGGTATATGTGGGTGGTGGTGGCAGTGGGTAATGGGGATGTCTCTGTTTCCCTTACCTGCTTGTTGTGCTTACTACTGGCTGGTTATCTGTGGCTTGAAGACTGTGTGGTGAGGGGGAGGATGTCTGCAGCTCCCACGTTGTGCTGGTTGCTGGCTGGATGTATGTGCTGGGGGCTGATAAGGACGTCTCGGATTCCCTTCTAGGGGTTTACTCGATTGCTGGCTTGGAGGGAGGGAGCCCTCTGCCCTCACTCTCATAAACTATACAGTATTTGCTACAGGCTTCCTCCTGTGTTTGTGAGGCATGGGAGGAGGAATAATTTTAGTGGGGAGTCCCCGACTCCTCTATCTGCTCATTACTTACTGCCAGTTAGCTGGCAGGCTGTGTGGCGTGAAGGAGGAGATGGGGTGTCTTTGGTTTCCTTACTTGCCAGCTGTACTTGCGGCTGGCTCCACTGGCTGCCTGCAGGGAGGAGTAGGGAAGAGTACAAAGGGGATCCCCTGACTCTCTCCCTCGCTTACAATACTTGGTGCTGGCTAGAGGACTGCCTTTGTCTGTGTGTAACAGGGAGGGTCCCCAGCTTCCACACCTACTTGCTGGGGATGGGAGGGCTAGCTGTATGGAAGTGCGGTTGGAAGTAGTTAGGGGGTGAGCCCAGCACCCTTACCTGCTTGCTGTACTTGCTGCTGGCCTGACAGCTGTACTCGGAGCAGTGGTCCGATCCAATGGAGATGTTGTCTCCTGCCCCCACAAAAGTATTGGCCGGGGGCAGTTCCTGCACGGCCTGGTGCTTTTTCCCGGCGGTGGGGGACTGCGGGTGAAGCTGGACAGTGGGCAGCGGCGAGCTGGATTTGTAATGCCTGGCCAGGTCCGGGCTGCCCGGGCCGCCGTTGACCGAGCGGTATCGGCCCATGCTCGGGCTGTCGGAGAGCTTCTTGTTGACGCTGTCGTAGCGCTGCCCGTTGGGCTTGGAGGCCTCCACGGTGACGATGCTGCTGTAGAGGGGCTGCTTGCCCTTCTTGCCTTTCTTGTCCTTCTTGGGCTTCTTGGCCTTGTCGTGCTGCTGCGGGGTGAAGAAGTCCTCGTGGTCTTTCTTGCCCGCCTCGTAGCCGTGCTTGCTCTTGGAGCGGCAGTACCGGGCCATGACCACCACCAGGATGAGCAGGATCACCGTCATGATTCCGGCCACCACCCCGATGACGATGCTGAGCCGCTGCTTGCTCAGCTCGTAGCTGGGGTCGCCGGCGATGTCCTGGGCCAGGGGCGTGTGCAGGCTGCGGGCCACCTGGCTCTCCACCACGGTGGCGTTGGAGAGGCTCTCGTTGACGAAGACGTGGAGCAAGGCGGTGGTGGACTGGGGCGGCTGGCCGCTGTCGTTCACCTGCACCACCAGGCGGTGCAGGCCATAGTGCTTGGGGGCCAGCTTGCCCACCAGCGACACCACGCCGCTGGCCGGGTCGATCTCGAAAAGCTTGAAGGGGTTGCCCCCGACGATGCTGAAGTTGAGGTCGGCGTTGAGGCCCGTGTCCGCGTCGGTGGCCAGCACGGTGGCCACCACAGTGCGCAGGTTGCTGGAGGGGGGCAGCACGGTGTAGGAGCTGTTGCTGGGGAAAGTGACGGCGGGCGGGTTGTCGTTCTCGTCCATCACAAAGAGGGAGACTGTGGCGGTGGCCGAGCGGGGCGGCTCCCCTCCGTCCACCGCCTTGACCTTGAAGGTGTAGCTGGTTTGCTGCTCCCGGTCGAAGGAGACAGTGGAGTAGATGGTGCCGGTGTCGTTCTCGATGGAGAAGATGCCGGCGGCCTGGTCCTGCTCCCCGGGCTGGATGGAGAGGCTGAGCTCGGCGTTGCGGCCCCGGTCGGCGTCCATCACGGTCACCATGCCCACGGGGCTGTTGGGCTGCAGGTTCTCCTTCACGTAGAAGGTGAACACGTCCTGCATGAAGCGCGGCTCGTTGTCGTTGCGGTCGGCCACCCGCACCACCACTGTGGTGGAGCCCTGCAGGGCCGGCACCCCCTTGTCCCGGGCCGTCACCTGGAACTCGTAAGTGTCGCGCTGCTCGCGGTCCAGCACCGCCTGCACCAGCACGTCCCCGGAGTCCGGGTCGATGCTGAAGATGCCTCCGGGCGCCTCCGAGGAGAGGGGAGAGGGCTCCAGCGAGTAGAAGATCTCGGCGTTCTTGCCGCTGTCCGCGTCCGTGGCCGCCACCGTGGCCACCCTCTCCCCAGGCGAGTTGTTCTCCGGGAAGGAGACCTCCAGCACGGCCTGGCCGAACAGCGGCGGGTTGTCGTTGGTGTCCGCTACCCGCACCAGCAGCGAGTTGTTGCTGGACAGGCTGGGGCTGCCCGAGTCCACGGCCACGATCACCACGTTGTAGTCACGGACGGCTTCGTAGTCGAGCGGGGCCGAGGTGTGCAGGAAGTACTTGCGCTTGTTCTGAGGCTCCCCTTCGCCCTCGCTGGCCGGCTTGAGCTGGAAGGGCACGTCCCCTACCACCGTGCAGGTCACCACGCCGTTCTCGCCCTGGTCGCGGTCGGACACCTGCACCAGGGCGATGGGGGTGTCCACCAGCACGTCCTCGGCCACGCTGGCCACCCCGTCCCGCAGCGGGATGCGGCCGATCTTGCGGATGTCGATGGTGGGCACGTTGTCGTTCTCGTCGCGGATGTTCAGCACCACCGTGGCCTTGTCGGTCTTGGGCGGCTGGCCCCGGTCCCGGGCCATGACGGTGAAGCGGAGCTGGTTCACCTCCTCCCGGTCGATGCGGTGCAAGACGCTGAGCCAGCCCGAGGTCTCGTCCAGCCGCAGCAGGCGCCTCACCGACTCGGTGGCCGCCCCGAAGACGTACTCGATCTGCCCGTTCACCCCCACGTCCAGGTCGGCGGCCCGCAGCTGCAGGATGGGGGTCCCGGGGCTGCTGTTCTCCGCCAGGTCCGCCTCATAGACGCTCTTCTCAAAGCGGGGGCTGTTGTCGTTCACGTCGGTGATCAGTACCCTCAGGATGGCCTGGGAGGAGCGGGCCGGGTCGCCGCCGTCCCGCACCCTCAGGCTCAGTTCATAGGAGTCCCTCTGCTCTCGGTCCAGCGCCCCTTTGACAATCAGCTGCGGCTGCTTCTCCCCATCAGGGGTGTCGGCCACCTGTAGCTCGAACACGCTGCTGCGGGCCGCCCCGTCCGGCTCCTGCCTCCTCTTACTGCCGCCGGGGTAGAGGGCGCTCTCAGCTGCAGAAGCCGACCCCCCTCCTCCGCGTCTGCCCCCGTCGCCGCCGGGCTCCTGCAGCAGCTCGTAGCGCTCGATGCCGTTGCGACCGAAGTCTCTGTCGGTGGCAGTGGGGAGCAGATAGAGGGTCCCTACGGGCCGGTTTTCCTCCACGGTAAGGGTGAGGACAGGCGAGGGGAAAGTGGGGGTGTTGTCGTTGATGTCCAGGATGATGACCCGGCCCTCGAAGAGGTCCACCCAGCTCTGCGAAGGGCCGATTACCGAGACCTCGAAGTCCAGGAAGCACTCGTTCTCATCGAAGATCATCTGGCACTGCGGCAGCTTCTCGCGGTCTATGCGCCGCTCAGTGGTGCTCAGCTCCCCGGTCATGTTATCGATCTTCAGGTAGTCGGAGCCCGACTCCAGGCTGAATGTCACCTCTCCAGAGCCCGTTACGATGCCCAGGTCTGAAGCCACGTTGCCTATGCGGATGTCGGCAGGTCCTTCCTCGGCCAGCCGGTACCTCAGCAGCTGCTTGGCCGCGGCCAAGCTGACCCAGAGTGGAGGAGGCAGCAGGAGCAAGAAGCAGCAGCAGCAGCAATGCACAAAGCCAAAGAGAGTCCGCATCTTCCTCATCTTCTTCGCACCAAAAACCCCCTCCTCTCTCCCACCAGCTCCCCTGACAAGCCAACAGAAATGCTCAGCGTGCGGATGATCAATTATAAAATCCTTCTCTTCCGGGAAACTTATTGTCTCATAACTGGTGCAATCGGTGATCAAAACCCTGGTGTTGGCTCCTCTCCCCCCTTCCTTCCAGTTGCAATATGCTTACAGTTCATGGGACAGTGTATTTTGCTTTTTAAAGATTCATCTCAACAGATAGGACGGGATTTTCCTCCTCCTCCTCCTCTGGTTTTACTGTAATCACTTTGCAAGGTTTGTAATAAAAGCAGGAGCAGCAGGGTGCTATTCGAAGCCCCCCCTCTCTTCCCAGGTCGTCTTCTTTGCTCCTAGAGTTAAGTACAATTCACACTCTTCTCCCTCTGTCTCTCTCAGCCGTTTACGACTAGGGCATTAGCTCTTTTCTTTCCCCACTCTGCACGCACACGGAAAAAAATGTGAATCGCCTCATTCAAAGGGGTTGTGTCCGGAAAACTCCCAATCCTCTTAGCAATGGGCCAAAAACACAATTAAATAACTGATTAAAAATAAAATAAAAAATAAAAATACCAAAAAAATCCCCAATAATATCGGTAGCTGTACAGTGGGTAGGCGAGAACCCCTTATATCACAGAGCAGTCCACAGAAAATCCGCTTCGGTTAGCAGAAAAGCACCCAAATCCATCTTCACAGATCGCCTAAAATGTTCAGTTCTTTCTCCATAGAGGATTTTTTTTTAATAACTCTGCGCAAGGTCATTAGTCACAAAGCAACGATACAAAAACTGCAGAAGCCGTTTGCCCAGAATTTCCAAAGCTGGAGCAATGCACATACACACACAAAAAACAGTCCCAAGTTTGTTTTTGCATCCGCAGTTTGTGTGTGTGCCTTACCTGCATTTGCACTGCATGTGTTATAGCAATCTAGATCTGCAGCACTGTGAGAGCGATTCACAAATGAGATTGCAGTCTCTCTCTCTCTCTCTCTCTCTCTTCCTTTCCGTCCCAATGCAGGTAACCAGATCTGAACTTGATCCTTTCAGTTCAAAGGTTAGCAACAAGGCTATGTGTCCAAAGGCGATTATTGCTTTGCTCTCTTGTTAATATACCCGAAGCGGAACGAGATGTAACTGGATCCCCCACGTGAATTAACAGATTCTGAATTACATCCATATAAGCGGAATGGCAAAGGGGAGGAGGGAAGAACCGCGATGCGATTTATAAAAATGCAGTCCTCTTTGCAAAGAAAATAATACCAGTCAATTGTTTCCTCTGAACCCCACCGCCTCGGCGGGTGAAATCTGCAGTTGTGCCTCCCCTCTTGTGCCTTTCAGAGAAGTGTGGTTCAGGCGCTTTCACAGCAAAACGGCTTGTGCTTTAAAATGTTGAATGGCAACTGAGGCGCCGCTTCCCACTCGGAAAAAAGCAGTAAACCAGCAAGTTTGCCCAAAGTGGTGGGAGCTGCTGGAGCCTCTCCCGGCGGCTCTTCCCTGACGCTGCAGCAGCAGAGCCGCCTGCGCTACACACGCCGAGAGAGGGAGGGAGGGAGGACGAGCCAAGCGCTGCACTCCAGAAAGCCCAGCCTTACCCTCTGCTGCTGCAAGTGGGATAGCTGCTGATCGCAAAACACCAGCCCAGTCTTCAAACCCATCCTTGGTACACACCACAGTGCTCCTGCTGTTGCTCTCTCTAACCCATGGTCTCCCGTGATTTCCTCCCCCCTCAAGCCACCACCACCACCTTCTGACTCTTCAGTGATCAATTATTGTTAAGCAAATTGTTGTTCTTCCTCTTATTTTAGAGCCCCTCAGTGCGCTGGTCACGGCATTTTGTGGCATCATGTTGGTCAAACAACTCATTTTGCATAGATTCGCACCTTTTCTGTCCGCTGGTGCTTTTCTAGACAGATGATGAGCTGCAGTGACTGTAACAGGATCAAACTCCAGGGAGGAATGGGGAGCGCGTTAGAGATCTCAGGCTTTCGCTGGTCTGTTCCCCAGTGCTGGGGGTTTTGTCTTTATTGCCTCTTTCAATGATTTGAATGCACATCTTCAACGGCATCTGTGTGTTTCTTGGGAAAATGGACCCCCAGAGAAAGAGAGAATGTGTGTGGGAAGGGTGGGGGAGGGTCAGGAGAATAAACACATGTAAGTAGAAGTAATAGATTTATTTCTGAATAGGGACTTGCTGCTTCAGTGATTGCTAAAACGTAGTGTCACCTACCTGGGTAAGTACGAAATCAACTTTAATGTGAAAAACCTCGACACAACTTTGCTTATTCTTGCGTCCCTAGTTCACTTTCTCCTTCTTTTGACTTTGTGCCACTTAATTGCCCATGGCATTTGCATGCCTCTGCTCTTTTGGTTGATGTCTGGCTCTCAGACCTGTCCCTTCCATTCGCATTCAACAGAGCAGCGAGGGAGACTCAGGCTGGTGGGAGAGGACGGACCAGGGCATGCAGGGGGCAGGCAGTGGGGAATCTCGCTTTCCCAGCCACTCACCTGCACACACGTTCGGGAGAACAAACCCCAGAGGTATTTATTTTTAAATAAAAACATGAAGACAAATATGCCCAAACGTCTTTCTTTATACTGATGACACATTTGTGCTAAAGCAGCCGGATGTGCTCAGATGATTCAGAGCAATGATCACAATGAGTCTAGCTTGCTGTCTATTTCATGTGGGGAGGAGAAAGCGAGGTTTCCACCTCTTGTCTGTGCGAACTGTAGGCACCCACAGAGGCAGTATGTGTATCTGCGGAGTGTGAGCTGGGGAATGAGTGCCTGAGTGTTCCCCACTCCCTGTCGTGCCAGGGCTGGAGAGGACTCTTTCTCCTGTGTAGGTGGATGCTACAGATCCTGCGTCGCTCACTGGCTGGCCCAGCTCTGGGACTCCTCCTCCTGCTGTGCTGATGCCAGGAGCCGCTCAGCTTTATATCTGCAGCATCAGCTAGAAAGCCTAGCTTGGCGCAGGCTCAGTGCTCACCGCCGCAGTCCGGGCTGCAGGAGGGGGCTCCAGGAGCTCGGCATCTTCGCATAGGGTTAAGTGGGATTAATACGAAATCCCCATTATATTTGCCAAACAACTTGACTGTCTCGAAATTCCCCCTCGCTGTCCCGGAGGAGGAATCTTGTCCGCACTAACCCCGCCATGCCAATAGGAATACCGGCGGCATGCTGCTGCATTGCACTGGTCCCTGCACATGCTACACATTTCCATCCCTCGCTCCCGCCGCTGCCTCCCTCCCTGCTTTTCAACGCACCCGGAAAACTTAATGCGTTCCCTTGTGGGAGGGGTGAGGCGAAAAAGCTTTTAACCTCCCCGCCATAAACTTTAATCGGCTTCCTGTGTGTGGAAACATTTGCACAGCACAGCCCCTCCCTCCCCCCGCATCGTGTCTTCTTCAGAGCTCCCCTGTCTCATGGGCACACTGCTCCGGCGGTCTGGTTTGCTGGGGAGCGAATAAGGGGGTTCTTTCTCTTGCCCTGTGCAACCTGCCCCATGAGCGCGCGGGCGCGCGCGCGCACACACACACACGGTGTATTATCCCCCCCCCCCGCATGCTCTCTCCTCCCTCTTCATGTGCAATGTCTCTGAGTGTGCAATGCCTGCCTGCTCGGGAGCGCAGCGTCCTTCACAGCGGATTGGTTCCTCTTTCGGAGCAGAGGTAACAGCCCCCCCGCCCCAGGCGGGCGGCCGGCGTGGGAAATGGATCTGACGTGCTCTGCATGGTGGATGGGCAGCGCTGCCTTTGGGCTTCGTGCCCTGGCTACGGGGGGAGGAGAAGGAAGTCGGGTCCACGTTGTGTGTGCTGCCCGTTTGTCTGGGGAGAGAGGGAAATCGGAGCCCCTTGCTTCCGCTCCCCGCCTCGTACCCCCAGCTCGGTAGCGTTAGGTCCCCACCACCTCTGGCCACTGCTTCACTCTCAGCAGGACCAAGCCCGGTTAGTTCAGGCGGTGGAGATTTGCCCCTTTGGCCAAGACTGATGAGCGAGGGAGCCCCCCGCCGCGACACATTTGGAGGTTGAGTCTAGGGAAGTGGGATCGCACGTGTCATGGGCTGCAATTAATAAAATAGCCCAAGATGCTGGGGACCAGCACTAAAAGAAGCAAATGAGAGCTTGTGTCTTTAAAGGGAACATCTTATCATACTGGCGAGATGGCAGCTTGTGTGGGGACTAACGTCCATCTGACATTTCTAGCCTTTATTATGCACGGGAAATCCTTTTAAAGCCATCACTGGGTTTTTCTCTCCTCTCCCCTGCAGCTCCAGGATTCCCTGTTCGGTAGCTTACAGATTGTGTAATTGTATCTGTTGATTAGAATAGTTAAAGTCCTTTGGTAAATATGCAAATATAATGAATCTTTAGCTTATTTCAATTTCTCGGCGGACCCCGATTCCATCTTTCGTGCCTACCAACTCTCCGCTGGAGTTGGCTATTCTCCTCCTCCCCCGCCCCAGCACAATTTATCTTTTGCAGTTCGGGAATGTTGATGTCACACTGCAAAATAGCGTTTAGGATCAGCAATGGAGTCCAGTCTCGAAGAAAAGAGTGACCAAAAAAAAAAAAAAAGGGGGGGGGGAGGGGGGGCAGTACCCGGAAAATAAAGTAGGTCCTGAAGGCAGAATCTCAGATGGGTTTTCACTGAAAGGAGGTGGCATATTCACAATAATATAAGGAAAAGGTTAAATACAGTAAACATGATAGCCAATTCTAGGGAAAAAATATAAAGCAGTTTGACGGGAAAGGAGAAACTGACTCAAGAACTCCACCAAGGGACAAACAGATGAAATGACACCACAACAGCACCAAATCTGTGTTGACCTTTCGTCTTTTAAAAGTGTCTTGCTGATTTTTTTTCCTTTTTGTCCTGATCTCCCACCTCCCTTCCTGCAAAACCCTCTCCCCCTTCCAAAGCTTCCTTAGTTCGTTAAAGTGAATATACTAGGAACATAGTTGGGTTGGGCTGGGACAAG